ATTTTTATCAATTTTAGAATCCCTAAGGGCAGTTACTTTGTCTTAATGTCCTGTGAAATATATAGAATCATTCTGTGCACATAAAGTGCACTCTACCAGATGGTATTTGATGGCTGTGTTCATCTTTAACATGAACAGAATATTAGTTTAGAGAAAATTTGTTTTCTTTTTTAATATTTCCATTTGCCAGTGTCTAGGAACATTGCTTCCTTGGATAAATACGTTTTTGTCCTATTGGTCCTTCTGAAAAATCAGGGACTCCAAGTCAGATGCAGCCAGTAACCTGGTTGAGTGGACTGGAAACAGTAATTGCTTTGATTTTTAAAGGAATCATTTGTTCTTCAAGCAAATTTAAAATTAAATTAAAAAATAAAGGAAATACTTGCTTTAATCTTTACCTTATTATTAAACATATATTAGCAAACCAGTGGCTAAAGTGTGTTACTTGCCAGCTATCCAAAATGCACATCATTGAGTCATTCAACCTGAGTTATTGAAGTGGTCAGGGTAAACCAAGGAGCTCCTCTTCCACATGCTTCCCTCCAGACCTGAAAACCTCCTTGCTGTTCTTGAAACTCACTAGGCCTGTTTCTACCTCATGGCCTTTATCACTCGCTCTTCCCTCTTGCTGGAATGTTCTTCTCCACATGACTTGTTCTTTCACCTTTTACAAGCATTTGCCAAAATTTCACGTTGTCAGTAAGTCTGTCATGATCACTTCTATGTGAGTGTAAATAAATCCTCACCCTACCCTCCATGTATGTCCTTTGTGAAATATTTTGTAGTTGAGCTGCACATATAAAGATCTGAAAACAATATATTCTAATTAATTTTTAAAATTCATTTTCCCCCAACTATCATGTAAGCTGTATAAGGGTAAGATATTTGTTTGTATAGTTTACTGCTGCAGCCTCAGGGCTTAACACAGTGTAGATGCTCGATAAACATTTTTTGAATTAATGAGTGAGTACTGTAGATAGTAGTAGTACTGTTCTCATTTTGTACTTGAGTGCCTTGTCTAAGATGAGATGGTTCAGCTGAGGCTCAATGCAGGTAGCTGACTCCAGAATGTTTCCCATAAATACAAAGTAAGCCTCAGGAAAATAACCTATTATACTCTTCTCAGACTTTAAAGAAGGGACTTGGATTTGACTTATCAAAAATAAACACATAAAATGTTTTTTTACTAAGAAAAAGCAATTTCTATCTCTTATATTATGGAAAATAGTGACTAAAACTATACTCCCATTTTCAAGATGACACAGTTATTTCTCTGTCTAGATTAAAAAATGTATCTTTCATTTAAGTAAAGCACAGAAAAATCTGGTTGGAATGATGGCAGAAATAGTAATGTAATTGAAGTCATATGCATTTTCTATTTACCAGGAAAGTTATTTTTAGGTTTAAATGAAACAAGACGTGCAAAATTTTAATGTAGTTTTTGACACACTGTAAAGAGTTATTTTGAGATGGCTGGTTAGATTCATATATAGAAAACATATTTAAATGTTGTTAATACAAATATAGTTATCACACATATACACACATTATTCTAATACTTGAAGGGTAAATGCTTCTGTTGATATTTCCAATTATTCCTTTTATGCATCATTTCTCACCTTTAGACATTGGCAAATAAATATTGTCTATACAAGTGCTAACACTTGTAATGGATAGATTGCAGAATTTTGATGTGAATTACACCATTTCCTTTTGCTTTCTTGGCTGAAAAACTGTAAATACTTTCTAATTATTATACCACCCCAGAACCTGGAACAGCAATAAAGGATTGTATGAAAAGATAAAAGGAAGTAAGAAATCAAATGAGAATTTCCTTTTAAATCCTAGGTTTTCAAAGTTTCCACTATGGGCACAACCTCATGTAAGAATGAATTAGGCAAATTATTGACATTCAGAATCCTTAAAAGCCTGAGGTATTTGAATGGTCAAATAAAACAGAAGAAATATTTCAAGGTACCTCTGGGATTGAAAGGAATTAACATAAAAATAATGAAATATAAATAAAACAGCACAGCATTCACAGTGCTCTCATCTTACATAAAGGATAGTAAATATTAGATAGATCTAATATAATAAAAGATTCAATATTAAACTGGACTTGAAATTGTTTACATGAAGCTATCTTGTTTCAGAATTTCTTCTGGCTTTTATGAAACACAATATTGTAAACTATTTCTCAATAAAAAAATTAAACAGCAGCTACATATCAATAAACATAAATGAACAAAAATACCTTGATAATATCTAACAATATAACAAGTAAAATTTATTGACCAAGAGAAAAACAACAGAAAAAGATTAGTGTAAGCTTTTTAGAGTTAAGATCTCCAGATACAGTTCTCTGTTTCTTCAAAAAGTTAGCTAGTATAATTATTTTGTTTCCATTTAATCATTTTTTCTAATTCCTGTCTAGCAAACAACAGAATACAAGGGGAAAATATCAAGCATCTACCATCAATCCTATTGAGTGTATTCTTAAAAATTATTTTGCTTATTTTCTACTCTTTAGGCTTCCATTATGATTAACTCAATGAAATCTAAAATTTTGGATTTTGACTAACATAGAATGTTTCAAACATATTTTACCCTAGCTAGTTTATTACTTTCTTCCTTTTTTAACTATTTTTATTCCATTTTATTTTAGAGTGTGTGGCATGGGGAAGGTGGGAAGCTGGGGGAGAAAGCAATAGACTTTACCCCAAAGAAGTAAAATATTGGCCTGGAAAAAAAATTACTTTTGTCTGCTTAATTAAAAATTGACTATTGTGAGGATACAAGGGAAGAACTAACACTGTTCGTAAAATGGTCACAACCATAGTCCATAAGGAAGATGGTGGTAGAGAAGAAACTCAGACACAGCCAGGTACAGCAAATGTTTTAGATAAATCTGCTATGATCTGCCAATAGGTTGCATTGGAGAGTAAGAGCGAGCAGTCAAAATGTAGCTATGGACCCTGGGAAAGTTGGAGGATGGAGTTTCAGGTATTTACTGAGATGATGAAGCAGTGAAAACAGTACGTTATTGTTTTAATTTCTTTTGTTTTTTGAGGTATGTGAAGATGGAGAGACGATCTAGATTTGGGGTTTGTAACCTTTTAAGTTGGGGAGGCTTGTTATTCATTTAATTGTATATCCATGCAGGCAATTGGATACACGTGTGAAATCCAGAGGAAAGGATTGGCCTGGAGATATGACAGTTTCCTCAGATAGATAGTACAGGCAATTGGATACACGTCTGAAATCCAGAGGAAAGGATTGGCCTGGAGATATGACAGTTTCCACAGATAGATAATACAGGCGATTGGATACACATCCGAAATCCAGAGGAAAGGATTGGCCTGGAGATATGACAGTTTCCTCAGATAGATAGTACAGGCAATTGGATACACGTCTGAAATCCAGAGGAAAGGATTGGCCTGGAGATATGACAGTTTCCGCAGATAGATAGTATTTATAGTTACACTATTGAAAGAGATGACTAAATAAGTGAAGTTCAAGGACCAACCTGTGGAGGAATTTGATATAAAATAAGTCTTATAAATGAGGAGAAATCAGCAAAGGAAAATACAGAACTACAGTTGATAATATGAGGATTGAAAGCAGGACAATATCATGTCATAGTAGCCATGCGAAGGAAGTATATCACTTTTCTGAGACACAGATTAAATAATCGTGCAAAGCTTTTCTGACCGAACTTGGCACATAGTCAATATTCAGTAGTTTATTGATGATTGAAATATTATTTTTAGTTGGTCCTTGATTCTGTAGTTTGTGGGGTCCAGTAGAGGCTTCTGGTCATAACCCATTGTGGTAGCTGAAAAGGATGCTCCATGAGCAGGACTGTGTAGTCCATGTCAAGGCCAGTGGATCTACCACTAAGCACAATACATCCCTGATTGTCTGGACTGGGATTTTCACACTCAGCCTCTTATCGCTGGGACAGTTATTATCCAGTCATTGAAAGAAACTCACATACTTACTCGTCTCTTGGGTCCTGTTAACTGCAGGGCAGTGTCTGTCTGTGAAGGGGCTGGTGTTTCTGCCAAGCCACTAAGCTAAAAATAAAATACACCTGGCCCTTTATCAAATATTTCTCCCCTTTGTAGCATCATGCTTAGGTGTATCCTCCTCTTACCTCTCTGATAGCATCCAGATTGCTTTCGTTATCCATGTCTTTTATAAGAGAATCTAATTGCTCACTGGAAAAAGGACTGATTTGATGTTTTTGAAGGTGAAACTCCAGACCTCAGTGCTGTAAAACAAGAACATCTTTATTTTGGGCAAGAGAAACTCAGAACTCAAAGTCAAAGCTGTATGTTTTCTTCTCTGAGTTTGGTGTTGAAAGGAAGAAAAATCAACAAAAACGTTAATATTTATTGAAAGCTTATAACATACCAGATGTTAGTCTATGTGCCTTGATACACCATATTATTTCAATTAAACCTCTCAACATCTGTTAATATTTGTATTGTTATATACTCCTCGTTGTAGAAATGGATAAACAGAAATAATCACATAGGACAATTGGAGCCCAGTTTTGAAGTCATGCTTTGTGGCTCTTAATTCAGGATTTTAAACCAGAAAGTTATACTGATTTGAATTATTATCTTGATATATTCTGAAAAGAAAAATAGAAGAAATGCATTAAACAATTTATTGACACAGAAAATGTATATGTAGAGTTTAGTGGCTTTTAAATTATAAACAGACAGGTAAAATAAATTCACTAAGTTAATTAAATAAGTAAACCTTGGGAAAATGATTACTGTATTTCCACACCAGGTAAGATAATATATTCAGAAATGAATCAGATATGAAATGTTTAATTTTACACCTTGCCATTAGGCCATGCTTTAATCTTTATTCTCTAAGAGTATCATGGACAGTCTATGCTATTAGTTTCAAGCTGTTATATTACTCTGTACTGAATGAGAGCCATATCAATTAATTGATAATTGAATTATGTTTTCCTTCTGAAGGCAACTGATCGAGAAGGAGACTCAGTAACATATACCATTGAGAATGGAGATCCTCAGAGAGTTTTTAATCTTTCAGAAACGTAAGTTAAAAATAATTTCTTACTTAAAAAAAATGTAAAACAGCATACGGTTAGCAAGAAAACAGACTTCTAATCAGAGGCTTTCAGCTGTTTGTAGTACTTTTTGTTTTCTGTGAATGTTAATGGTAGCTGAGAGGATAATTCTGGGCCCAGAAATCTTATCCAGGAGACTGTTTATTTTTAATATTTTTACTAAGTAAAATCCACCGAGGTGGAAACATTTCATTTGAAGGCCTAACTGGAATTAATTAGACACTTTTAAAGTTGTCAGCTCCTGATAATGACAAGGACATTACTACAAAGGGTTACTTAGTACTAAACTGTTTGTTCAAAGGGAGTCTTGTAGGCAAAATGTGTTACAAACACATTTTTCAATTTCTAATTAACAGGCATATTTAAGAAAAAAAGCAAAATGAAATAAAATACATGTTCATGCCAGACTTCTTTGAGGTCTAGATCAGGGTCATTCTGCTTACCTCAGAACACATCTGAGATATTGCTCATGATAACTGTTGAGAAAACTGGGAGCAGGCATTAAAAAAAGCCATTTAGAGCTTCAGAGAGATCATTTGCTTCCCTTTTCAAGGGGAAGTTCTGCTGTCATGTGTCTAGTTTCTAAGGAGCTGTGCTTGACTCTTCTGTGATGTTTCCTATGTACTTTTACTTTCTGAAAGAATAGAAATGTAAACTTGGCTGACGATTATAAAGTTAAAATTTTGACATTGCCAGGTCAGATTCAGGAACATGTGGGACAGAATGCCACAACAAGAGGACCATGTGCTGGTCAATTAGCCTTCTCAGAAATACCTCCAATTTCATGTTGAATGGAATTTTACAACAATGAGTTAAAACAGTTAATACCATAGACAAAAAGAGTATTTTCCAGACCTTTAGATTTCACAGATCAGTAAACCAATACTTGAAAAATAAAAAGGCTTAACTGTTTTCATTTTTATCCCTAGGGATGCAGAAATCATAAATTAGCTGCAGTTTACAATCATCATTAAAGAAAATAAAAATGTTAATGAAAATCTTTAATCAAGGCTGTGTAGTATTAGCATAAACATAGACATATAAGTCACTGGGCAGACTTAAAAATCTAGTATTTGTGGTAAATTGATTCTCAAAAAATGGGCAAGATAATCCAATCAGGAAACAACTTTGTTTCAACAAATGAAGCTGGGACAACATGCAAGAGAATGAATTTGAATTTTTATCTCACATCATTCACAAAAATGAACTCAGAGTGAATCATAAACTACAATATATGAGATAAAACTACATTCCACTTAGAAGAAAATACACAAGTAAATCTTCATTATTTGGATTAGGCCGTATATTTTAGATATGATACAAAATGCACAAAGGATTCATAAAATCAATAAATTTGATGAGATTGATAAATTGGGTCTCATCAGTTTTTAAAAATGTATTTCAAGGAGCACCATCCTAAAGTGAAACACAACACACAATGAGAGAAGATATTTTTAAATATTGTGCATGATCTGAAACGTATCTCAAGAATACATAAAGAACTGTTACAACTTAATAATAAAGAGGAATAATCTAACTAAAAATGGGCAAAGTATTTGAATAGACATTTCTTTAAAAAGGATATGTGAGTGGCCAAGAAGCACATGTAAATATGATTATGATCACCAATCATGGTCATTAGAGAAATGCAATTCAAAACTATAAAGAAATTTGATTTCATACATACTGAGTGTCTATAGTGAAGAAGAATGGCAAAACCAAGTATGACCAAGAGTGTGGAGATATTGAAATTTGCATAAATTTATGTGACAATGTAAAGTGTGCATGTATGAGTTCGGTTTTGCACTGCTCTAAAGAAATACTTGAGACCGAGCATGGTGGCTCACGCCTGTAATCCCAGCACTTTGGGAGGCCAAGGCCGGTAGATCATGAAGTCAGGAGATTGAGACCATTCTGGCCAACATGGTGAAACTTGTCTTACTAAAAATACAAAAATTAGCTAGGCATGGTGGCATGTGCCTGTAATCCCAGCTACTTGTGAGGCTAAGGCAAGAGAATCACTTGAACCAGGGAGACAAAGGTTACAGTGAGCCGAGATGGCGCTGCTGCATTCTAGCCTGGCAACAAAACAAGACTTTGTCTCAAAAAAAAAATAATAATAGTAATAATAATAAAGAAATACTTGAGACTGAGTACTTTGTAATGAAAAGACGTTGAATTGCCTCATGGTTCTACAGGCTGTACAGGAAGCATGGTGTTGGCAACCTGCTTTGCTTCTGAGGAAGCCTCAGGAAACTTACAGTCATGATGGAAGGCAAAGCAGGGAGTCAGCACTTTGCATGGCCTGAGCAGGGGGAAGAAAGAGGGAGGGAAGGTGCCACACATTTTTTTTTTTCCGAGATGGAGTTTTGCTCTTGTTACCCAGGCTGGAGTGCAATGGCGCGATCTCGGCTCACCGCAACCTCCACCTCCTGGGTTCAGGCAATTCTCCTGCCTCAGCCTCCCGAGTAGCTGGGATTACAGGCATGTGCCACCATGCCCAGCTAATTTTTTGTATTTTAGTAGAGACGGGGTTTCACCATGTTGATCAGGATGGTCTCGGTCTCTTGACCTCGTGATCCACCCGCCTCGGCCTCCCAAAGAGCTGGGATTACAGGCGTGAGCCACTGCGCCCAGTGGTGCCACACATTTTTAAGCAAGCAGATCTCATGAACTCTATCAAGAGAGCAGCACCAAGGAGGCTTTTGCTGAATCATTGATGAGAAACTGCCCCCCATGAGCCAATCACCTTCCTGCAGGTCCTATCTTCTACACTGGTGACAATTCGATGAGATTTGGGCAAAGACACAGATTCAAACCATATCAATACACTTTGGAGAACTGGCCTTTTCTCCAAATGGTAAACAGAGTTATTGCATAAGCCATCATTCTGCTCATATGCAAGAGAAGTGTAGAGATGCATCTACATGATAGTTTGCACAAAGAAAGTTCATAAAAGAATTATTTGTAACATTACTCATCATTAAAAGTAGTGAGGTCCTGAAACATGCTTCAACATGTATGAATCTTGAAAATATTATGCTAAGTGAAATAAGTCAGTCACAAAAAGAGTACGTATTATTTCATTTTTATGAAATCTTCATAACAGGCACATTTATAAGACAAAAAGTTGACTAATGACTGCCTGAAAATAAGGACTGGGAGAGAACAGGCAGTGACTGTTAATAGATACAATGTTGAAAATGTTCTAAAATTGATTATGATGATGATTGAACAATTCTGTGATTATGCTAAAAAATCATTGAATTGTACCCTTTAAATGGGTGATTTTATGATATGTGAATTAAAATGTTAGCAAAGATGTCAACAAAAGAAAAAGACAACAATGAAGTTTTCACCTGCTCTGGTAAGCAAGAAGCCCAAGTTTCTCAGGAATGTGTATTCCTGTTTTTCCCTTAATGCCAAAAGATTTTTCAACTGCTAATTGTGAAATCAAATGAGCTATTGGTTTTGCCAAAGAAATGAGCTAAATGCACAGCTTTCCTATATCTCTGGTGCTATTCTCATCTCTGCATTTGGAATGAAAAAGATAATGGCTGGGTCACAGAGGTTCTTAAAGGTGTAAAATTATGTCAGTGCAAACAAAATCCTTTTAATCTAAATTGACCACAGTTCTTAATATTAAGCCTCTTAGGTCAAGCCAGACAGACATCTCCTTAAGATACAAACTGCTTCCAGGAAAGCTCAAGCAGAACAGGTCCCTGTAATAGTTGTCTGATCCCTTTTGATGATCATTCTTAATTCAGGGTCCTGTACACTGTCTAGCAATCCATTTCAATGCATTTGAAATGGAGAAAAGTTACTGACATTTTAACTGCTACCTTCTTTGAAACTTCTGAGATTCATGTTCAAAAATTTGCACTACCACTTCTCTGTAACTTTCAAGGATTTGAACAATCCAGGTACTGCTATAGCTTGGATATTTGACACTCCAAACCTCCTTCTGAAATTTGATCCCCCATGTTGAAGATGGGGCCTGATGGGATTTGTTTGGGTTATGGTGGCAGACCACTTCTGAATGGCTTGGTGCCAACAGTAATGAATGAGTGATTGCTTATTAGTTCCCACAACAACTGGTTGTTAAAAAAAAAAAAAAAAAAAGAGCTTGGCACCACCCCTCCTCTCTTGCTTCCTTTCTTACCATGTGATCTCTGCACACCCCCGCACCCCTTCACTTTTGGCCATGAGTGGAAGTGCTCTCAGCCCCTCACCAGAAGTAGATGCTGGCATTATGTTCTTGTACAGCCTGTAGAACCATGAGCCAAATAAGCTTATTTTCTTTATAAATTACCCAGCTGTAGTATTCCTTTATAGCAACACAAATGGGCTAAGACAGGAATGCTAAAAAAATAAGCAATGTTGTACCTTATCAGACATTTCAATATATGCAACTATTGTTTGGGTTATATTTTATATCTTAAAGCAAAATGAAAAAATATTTTCATGTTGATTGTATACTTTAAACACTATATTATTTGGTGCTATAATACAAATTCTCTCAATAAGCATCATTATAATACCATGACTTTCCTTTCTTTTACTGAAATAAAAGTATGCCAAATTTTTCTTGTAATTATTTTTAAAAATTAGTAGTAATGAATAATCATCTTAATGTCAGTATGGGTTTACAAAGTCTTGAATTGTTATCATTTTAATACATTGGCTTAGTCACATAGCCAAGAAAGAAACTGGGTCTTTAAAGAAAAGGCCTTGGTTTTTTAAAAAATCACAAACATTAGTTATAAAAATCATTCAGTGTCATGTACTAAGTGGCCATATCTTTATGATTCTCTAATATAATGCACTATTCCAGTACCTTTTCATAGTGCCTGTCTTGATAGTGGCATATGATTTAGCAAATATTCACTCAGCAAACACCCACAAATAAGTACACATTTAAATAAGATATATAACAACTTGTCTTATAAATATGATAGCCTAATGGT